GGTGGACACAATGTCTTTTTAAAAATTTTATTTATTCTAATTTGTTATATATGACAGCAGAGTGCATTTCAATCCATAGTACACATATAGAGCACAATTTTTCATGTATTTGGTTGTACACAAAGTAGAGTCATACCATCATGTCTTCATACAAGTACTTAGGGTAATGATGTTCATCTCATCTTACTGCCTTTCTTACCCCCCGCAGATTTCTTATTCTATTTTTTTTTAACTTTTTATTAGGAATTTTTTTAAATTATTAGTTGTTCATAACATTACATAGCTCTTAACATATTTCATACATTTGATTGAAGTGGGTTATAAATTCCCATTTTTACCCCGTATACAGATTGCAGAATCACATCGGTTTTTACATACTGCCATACTAGTGTCTGTTGAATTCTGTTGCCTTTCCTATCCTCTACTATCCCCCCTCCCCTCCCATCTTCTCTCTCTACCCCATCTACTGTAATTCACAAGGAATGTGTTTCATGAACTTGGCCTAGTAAGAATTAAGGAACTTGGAGCTGGGGCTAGGTAGGGCTCAGCAGTAGCACACTTGCCTGGCATGTGTGAAGCACTGAGTTCAATTCTCAGCACCACATATAAATAGAGTCTATCAACAACTAAAAAAAAAATTTTTTTTAATGAAAAAAGAATTAAGGAACTTGGGCTGGGGTGTAGCTCAGTGGAAGAGCGCTTGCCTAGTATGTGTGAGGCACTGGGTTCGATTCTCAGCACCACATACAAATAAGTAAAATAAAGGTTCATCACAACTTATATATATAATTTTAAGGAACTTGGTTTAAACATGTTTTCTGCCCTCAACCATTTATGAAAATTTCTCTTATGAGCTGGGGATGTAGTTCCTTGGTAGAACACTTGTTTAGCATGTTTAAGGCCCTGAGTTATATTTCTGGTACTACCAAAAAACTATGTGAGTCTTTTCCTTATTTGACTTTTGAATTTTAACTGCCCAGCACATAGTAGAGTTTCACATATTACTGGTAGATTATAATTATACCCAGAATCAAACTCTGTGACAGAAACAAGTCAGAATATAACATATAAGAAAAGCTTGATTCTTGTTTTGACCTTGTCAATCATTTCAATTACAACAGTCTTAGTCCCCATAAAAGATGAAGTACTTAGGGAATTGGAAAAGAAATAGGTTACCTTTTGCCTGGGAGGAAGCAGGAGTGAGGGTTTTATGCTGGATTTAGCATGTGAGCTCATGTTAAGTTAGGATTTAGAGGATGGGCCAGGTGTATTCGCATGCTTGTCATCCCATCAGCTCAGGAAGTTCAAGTAGAAGGATCACAGGTTCAGAGCCAGCCTCAGTAACTTAGTAAGGCCCTCTCAAAATAAATAATAAACTGACCTGGGATTTTGTCTCAGTGTTTAAGCACCCCTGGGTTCAATCCCTGGTGCCAGAAAAAATTTAAAAGGATGATAGACATAGCCATTGTGCTGCCCCTCTCTCCCCCTCATTTCCAGTTATGTTGCTTCTGCTTTTAATTTAATTCTTTTTTTTTTTTTGAGAGTGAGAGAGGAGAGAGAGAGAGAGAGAATTTTTAATATTTATTTTTAAGTTCTCGGCGGACACAACATATTTGTTGGTATGTGGTGCTGAGGATCGAACCCGGGCCGCACGCATGCCAGGCGAGCGCGCTACCGCTTGAGCCACATCCCCAGCCCCTAATTTAATTCTTACACTGCTTCTTCCTCTGTCAAAACAGCCAGCTCCCACTGCCTGGACGTCTGCAATGTTCTTGTTCCTCCTCCTGCTGTTATTGTACCCCTTTAATCTGTTGAGCACACTATAGGCAGAATGGTCTCTATAAAATACAATTGTTTCTTTTCTGCTTAAAGTCTTTTTATGGCTTCCTATTGCCTTTTAAGCAAATCCAAACATTAAGTTTGTTTTTTAAGCATTCCACAATTTGTTCTCCTCTTCTCCTCCTTACTCACAAGTTCAATTTTAATGCCACATTTTCCAGTAACTTTTCCTTATCCCTAGACCAGGACAGTTTCCAAAATTTCCATTCCTATTAAAAGGTCTGCTTCCACATCGTAACACTGATAATAAGTTGGAATATTGGAATTCATTTAGGTGTGATAAGCTTTTCTGAACCCCTCCAGGGCCTAATGCTTTACCCTTCCTATTGCCATCCCTGGGATAGTGCTTTCAGAGTAGAACTAGAGATCCAGTTTTGATAGGTAGGAGCAAAGGATCACACTGTGAAAGAGATTAGTGGGAGTCACTTTGACAGAAGACCTGTGATGCTACTATCTAAGTAGTGTTTGATTTCAGTATGGTGGTCAGTCTCATTTGTTTGTTACCTATTATGTAGCAGACACTATGGAATAGTTCAGTAAGCAAAATGAAGATGTTCTTAGCCTTCTTGGAGCTTATATGCCAAAGGATATAGAGAACGGAAAACATGGGGAAAACCATATAGTATGTTAGACCTAATAAATAATGCAGTGAAAAATAAAGCCGGAAAGGGGAGTCAGTGGGGTTCATTTTTATCCAGCAAAGTCAGAGAAGTCTTCACTGAGGTGCCCTTCAATCCAAAGTCTGAAAGTGTAAGGTAATGATCCATGTAGGTAACCAGGGATTGTTTTAAGCAGAAGGAGCAATAGAGGTAGATATTTTGAGGCAGGAACATTCCTTTCATGTTGAAGGTAGAAGGGTAAAGGAGGGCAGTAGCAGAGGCTGAGACCAGAGGGGATAAATACATAGTCTGGAAGGATTTTATAGTCACCCTGAGGACTTTGATGATCACTGTGAGATGGCAATCTGTTGGAGGGTTTTGAGTGGAGAAATCTGATGTGTTCTGTGGTTGGGTGTGGGTTGTAGAGTATTAGGAAAAGCAGCTAAACTATTCCATTAATAAAAGTGGAAAGAAACTATCAGATTCCAGGTACATCGCGAAGATGGAAGCAACAGGATTTATCAAGCAGAAATGTGTTTCTTGGCAAGCAGTATAAAAGTGTGACAGTGCTCTGGGGCTTTTGAGGAATTGACAAACTCTTTATGGGCAGCCCATTCCACCCCAGTTTGGGCTACATACCTAACTTGTTTAAAACTAAACCAGGCAGTAGGTGTAACATACATGCACTTTTTTGAAAATCTGACATAGCCATGGACCTTCTTCCCAGAAATTTATGTACTCCTGACTTCACTTGGGTTACTCCCAAATTCTACCCACAATAATTTTAGGAACTTCTGAGTCCCTCTGGTTTATGGGCCCATGGGCAGTTTTCAGAAACCTAAAAATTTCAGGAAGGGAGGTAAGTCACAAAATGTATACTGTCAGGTCCTTTACAATTGAAATAAAAAGTCAGTTCTGAGCTCAGCAGCTAGCACAAAGATAAAACATAGTTACCACAGAAATGTAGTTGGTGATAACTGCAAAATACACACATACTCAGTCAGCAAGTCCTCACTGGGCCTCTTCCACATGTCAGACATTGTTCTTGGTGCCTGGAACTCTGGCATCAACAAATCAAAGCCCCCCCACCCCAAAAGAGCTTACTTTCTAATGGAGACAGACTACCATTTTGTAAACAAATAGTATTTGTACATTTAGTAACTGGTTCTTGAACACCTACTGTATGCCACACATTGCTTCAGGTTCTTGGAGTGTTTATTCTAGCGAAATCTGTATAGTATATAATAGAGTTTTGGTTTTTGTTTGTTTTCAAAAAAGATCCAAGCTCAAGATGATGGTGCACTTCTGTAATCTCAGCAGTTTAGGAGCCTGAGGCAGGAGGATTGCAAGTTGAAGGCCAGCCTTAGCAATTTAGACTGTCTCAAAATAAAGAAGGGCTGGGGCTGAGGTTAATGCTCAGTGGTAGAGCTCTTGCCTAGCATGCTTGGGGCACTGGGTTCTATCCTCAGCACCACATAAAAATGAAGGTATTGTGTCTATCTACAACTAAAAACAAATAAAAACAAAATAAAGAAGAGCTGATACATAGCTCCAGTGGTGAAGCAGCCCTGGGTTCAAAATGAACATGTAAAATTCCCAGGATTGAGACAAGATCCATGTTTTCACCATAGATCATCATAGAGGAAATATTGCATAATACCTTAGTCCTCAATCTTTGGCACTCATCAGAACCACCTAAATAGTTTTAACCATTGTTGGGCCTCACCACCCCTAGTATTTTTCTTTCCTCCTTTTTGTTATTCATGACATCTGTAGAATCCTTTTTGACATGATGATAAAAGCATGGAATGTATCTTGTTCTAATTCAGTCCCCACCCCTAGTATTTCTGATTCAGGAATTCTGGGATAGAATCTGAAAATAGGCATTTTCAAGATGATTCTGATGTTGCTAATCTGGAGACCATACCCTTGAAACTACTAGTATGACATAAGGAACATCTGCAGTAGTATCCTTGGGTGATTGCAGCAGAATTCCCACAGAGTGGTTGTATTAAAGCACAACCAAATGAAAATTCTCTGGAAGGCCAAAAACATGGATTAAGCTAACTTTAGAACATTTTGTATCTAGAAGACCATTTCCAGCTTATTCCGAGACAGATGTCAGAAGACACGGGGGTTGAGTTTACGTTCCTGAAGATACAGCTTGTTTATTAACTATTGCCAAGACTGCTTAAGTGGGAGATTACCTCGTTATCATTACTGTTAATTCAAACCCCCCCAACCAGAAAACAGTGTTAGAATTTTTTTTTTTTTTTAAATAAGAGCAATGTATTAAATGTGAAACATTTCTATTTCAGAACTGTTCGTCAGGTGGCACAGGAGCAGTTCTTTTTAATGTGCACCAGGTGTTGCATGGGACACAGGCCTCTACTTTTCTTCATTACTCTGCTCTTTACCGTTTTGGGGGTGAGACATTTTTTAATATGCTTACCATTTGTGATTTACTCTTTCACCAGGGACATTCAGGGATTTATGGTCTTAGCTTTTATTAAATGGAAATTTCCCTGTTTTAGTTATCTGCTCTAATTTACTGAGTATTTAAAAAGTAGATTCTGAGCATGGGCATATAAATTTATATTTTCATACTTTCTTATTTTCAGAGTACCGCCAGAGAGAGAGCTAAACATTCAGGCGACTACTTCACTCTCTTAAGGCATCTTCTTAATTATGCTTATAACAGTAATATTAATGTACCCAATGCTGAAGTTCTTCTCAATAATGAAATTGATTGGCTTAAAAGAATTAGGGTAAGTTGCAGTTAATATTGTTATATATCATTGTTAAAAGAGATGGTTTATAGTTTTGAGCATTTTGGTTAAGTGGAGAGCTCCAAAGTAATCAAACAAACCAACGGATTGGTGGATATTTATGACTTGTAGAACAAACGTTTCATTAGTTGTATAAAATATGCTTTCTTACTAGAAACTTTGAATGCTGGTGTTTACCTCCTTCCATTTTAGTATTTTGGGCCTTTTTACAAATTGCTAGCTTTAAAAAGAAAAAGCATTCTTAAATTGTTCTTGTAAAAAATGAGTCTGATAGGCTAGCACTTTGATCATAACTCCTGGACATAATTGCGTGAGAATTTGTTTCTGATGGTTTTAGTCTTTCTAATAGTTTATAAAGCCTGCTTTCTAAGAAATTCTGTAAACTTGCTTCAGTGGATCCATTTTTGGAAATTATCTTATGTCCTTCCAGCTCTGTCTTGTACTGGCTTTTCCTTCCCTCTTAGCCTCCCTTTTAAAAGTTAGACATTTATTTATTGTTTTATTTTCTTTTTTTAATTTGGCAGGATGATGTTAAAAGAACAGGTGAAACGGGTGTTGAAGAGACTATCTTGGAAGGCCACCTTGGGGTAACAAAAGAGTTACTGGCCTTTCAAACTCCTGAGAAAAAGTTTCATATTGGTTGTGAAAAAGGAGGTGCTAATCTCATTAAGGTGAGTTCAGCATTCTTGGTCCTTACTAGATTTCATAGCCTTCTAAATGTTTCACCATCAAATCTGTCTAATAGCATCAATGTCTCTGGATTAATCATTTCATCAGACTATTTAAATGAGGCAAACCTCCATTTTGTTGTAAGACTGAGTCATGTATCATTTCGAGTTTTTCTTTTATGTGGTAACTCAAAAGTGTCATTTTAGTAATTTTTATTCAGAATCGGTTTATTTTGATAGAAATCTGATTTGAGTAAGCATTAATGTTAATTTTGTGAAGTATTCTGTCTTTAATACTTTGTTTTAATATGAGAAATTGGATGTGTCTCTTAATTATACTAACTCATTTTTCTAAGTTGGACATTCATCAGAAAATCCAAGTTTTCTGAGCTGTAATAAGATCTTAAATTTTGATAAGTAATTTTTAAATTGTTTTCTTACAAGAGACATTTTTTTTCTTTTCCTGAATATATTGTTGTTAATATGTAATCATTTTTTCAATTCCTTTTAGGAACTAATTGACGATTTCATCTTTCCTGCATCCAATGTTTACCTGCAATATATGAGAAATGGAGAGCTCCCAGCTGAGCAGGCTATCCCAGTCTGTAGTTCACCAGCTACAATTAATGCTGGTTTTGAGTTACTTGTAGCATTAGCTGTTGGCTGTGTGAGGAATCTCAAACAGATAGTAGATTCTTTAACTGAAATGTATTACATTGGGACAGCAATAACTAGTAAGTATTTTAAAATATGAAGTTGTGATGATTAATAGTTATAATTTTTCAATTTCTTATTTGCCAAGTTTTTTTCAGTAAAAATCTGTCATGTTGTTTCTGTCAGTTGCTAGCTTGACATTTTTAGCAAATGGATATATAATTATGATCATTACAAGCAGAGAACCTTATATAGAAAAGTTTTCAAGTGTTTGTTAACTGTTGTAACTAGTATAAATATTTGACAAATTAAGTTTCAGCCTTCAAATCTGAAGTAAAATCCCAATTCCAGAGTAGCCAAAGTAAATACAGCTTACAACTAAATTGCTTGGGTTAGAGAACCTCTCAGGTACTCACTGAGAATTCATATGAAAACAAGGTTGACCATCAAAGAAAATATGGAGTTTTGAAGATTAGAATGTGAGAAGATAATATTTTGGTGTATTTTACATGTTCTCACTTGATAACCCACATTAAGCCTATGACAGTAGCTGCAGATTCTAGATCTTAAGATATGAAACTGAAGCTCAAAGGAATTGAATGCATATATAAAATAACTGTAAAAACAAACAGATCCAAGGCAATTTCATTTTAAGAAGAAAACCAGTTTATCTACACCACTTAAGAATATAGATGGGCATGGTGGCAAACGCTTTTAATTTCAGTGTCTTGAGAGGCTGGGTCTAGAGGATCATTGAGTTCAAAGCCAGCTTCAGCAATTTAGTGAGGCCCTAAGCAAGCAACTCAGTAAAAAATTTAAAAAGGGCTAGGGATGTGGCTCGGGGGTTAAATATTTTTGAATTCAATCCCTATATACCATTAAAAACATATACACATATATATATATCCGGTTATAGTAAATCGTTTTTAATATGTTTCAGAATATAAGGAAGTTTTAAAATAACATCTTGAGTGTTTCTGGTTAAACAGACTGCTTAAGAGATTGGACCTGGGCTGAGGTTGTAGCTCAACACCACATAAAAATAAATAAGGGTATTTTGTCCATCTACAACTGAAAATATAAAATTTTAAGAAGAATAGACCTTTAGCTATCAAATCTAGTGAGGTGATTTTTGTTGCCATTATTTCTTTTAACTTAATGGAGAGGAGTTTGCGCTTATTTTTAAGTAATGCATTTACATGGTGAAAACTTAGGTACTTGAAGATTGAGTATACAGTGAAAAGTATGTTTCTGCCCATCCATTTTCCCCAATGTTCTTTGAAAGCTATAATAATTATCATCAGTTCATGTCTGTCTTCCCACTTCTCTGTATGCAGAATCTACATATAAATGCATGGAAGATACCAGGGATAAAACCCAGGGGCACTCAACCATGAGCCACATTTCTAGCCCTTTTTTATATTTTGAAACAGGGTCTCACTGAGTTGCTTAGCATATAAAATCTTTGTGTGTGGTACTGGTGATTGAACCCAAGGGCCCTTTAATACTGAGCTATGCATCCTGTCCTTTTTAAATGTTTATCTGTCATTGTTCCCTATCTCACATGTAAGTATTGACCTAATTCCATGTATTGGCTTAGATACTTTTCAATTCAATATACTTAAACTTATTTAACTGGTTCCCTAGAAAATGATGATTGTGTTGTTTTCAGGTTTATGCTAGGTAGGTGGAGGGAGTTGGGGACATATATTTAGTGATTGACAATTCCTACAGAATTTTTAAATCCATTTTCTGGTTTACTCTCCAAAATAGCACTGTGGATATAGGCAAAGCAAATGTTACTCTTAGTAGGAGTGGACAAAAGGTCACCTGAAGGTGGAAAAAAGTGTCCAAACTGAGACTGAACCTCGGTGGTTCTAGGATTATTTGAAACTGAGCAAAGCCTCATGTGTTGATATATTTATATAATGTTTCATGCCACAGTGAGATTGAAAGCATGTTTAAGAAAAGAGAATGGCCTGGGGTTGTGACTCAGTGGTAGAGTGCTTGCCTAGCATGTGTGGGGCACTATTCTCAGCACCACATATAAATAAAATAAAGGTCCATTGACAACTAAAAAGTATATATGTTTTTTAAAAAGCGTATAAAATGATAAGAAAATTAATAATGATGGTTATAGTAAAGATAAAACCAAAGTTAGCACACAGATTAGGATTGAGCCATCTTGTATGACTACTTTTAAGACTGCCATATAAATAATACCAGATAAAACATGAGCTTGTGGACATTAATGTTAAGAATCTGCAATGGCCTGTGCTTCTATGTTAGATTGAGGGGATGCAAAGTGAGAGCATTCACTGCCTCTGGTAGCTGTGGGGATGGTGAAATTGTCATTATTGTTACTTTATCAGCTTAATAGAGCTTGAAAGTACAGAATGGTTATGTTCATGCTACAAGACTCCTCCCTTCTTTCAGCTTGTGAAGCACTTACTGAATGGGAATATCTGCCACCTGTTGGACCCCGCCCACCCAAAGGATTTGTGGGGCTGAAAAATGCTGGTGCTACTTGTTACATGAATTCTGTGATTCAGCAACTCTACATGATTCCTTCCATCAGGAACGGTATTCTTGCAATTGAAGGCACAGGTAGTGATGTAGATGATGATATGTCTGGGGATGAGAAGCAGGACAATGAGGTAAATTTTAGTTATTTCTGTTTTCTGTGTTTGAAGTTCTGATATCAGATACTATTCTCTCTTCCAAGAGAGTGCAGTCATCCCTCAGTATCCACAGGGGATTGGTTCAGATGCCCTGAGGATACCACAATTCTCAGATGTTCAAGTTCCTTATATAAAAAGGTATAGCATTTGCATATAACCTTTATATATATTTTCCTATATACTTCACTTTTTATTTCTAGATTTTTTAAATTTTTAGTTGTAAAGACACAATACCTTTATTTTTTATGTGGTGCTGAGGATCAAACCCAGTGCCTCACACAAGTGCTCTATCACTGAGCCACAACCCCAGCCCCCTCTCTAGATTTAAATACCTAATACAATGTAAATTCCATGTAAATAGTTACTATACTGTATTGTTTAGACAAGAAAAAATGTCTGTACATGTTCAGCACCAACCCAATTATTTTCCCAATATTTCCCACCTGGGATTGGTGAATCTACAAATGCAGAACCAGTGGATATGGAGGGCCGACTATATTATACTTTCATCAAATCTGTTAAAAGTATGTTTGAAAGTAGAAATGGACTCTCCTGGTTGAACTCTTCTTGATATAGTATGTCTCTAAAGTAACAATGTACCCATCTCCTTTTGATAATAGTTTGAATTATATTTTCACTTTTCTACTTCATATTTTCAATTATATCTCCATTGGTTTATGACAAGTTGGACAGTATCTGCCACTTTTACTATATGTTCTAGCTTTTAGTTGTCCTTACATTTCCCCCAGATCATAACTCTTCTTGCTTAAAGAATAAACTCCTCTACCCTTGAAATAGTATTACATGATCTTGTGAGCAAGTGTAGACTGCCTTTGGCATATCCAGTGCAGAATAAAGCAATGTTAGGTTGTAGGGATGGATCAGATTTGACATAACTATGATGTGGCTTTTCGAAGAAGAGAATATGGCAAGACCTGAATTGTAGTCATGTTTGTATATACCCTATGCTACTTTGTTTTTATTTTATCTTTTCTTGTTTATAGTGTTAGAACTGAAGAGAAAATCCAAAGTGTATTCTTGTGGTAGTAAATGTCTTAAAATGGTTTATTCCTCATTCCTTCCCTTCAGTCACCAGAATTGGATTTGTTCTGAAGAAACAGTTTACCACTTACAGGGCTGCTAGAACATAACCCTTGCCTCAACTCTTCCACAGACCCACTGGACCTGATGAACCAAGGAATGGGGGCTGAGCAATTTTACTTTTTGAAAAGACTTCAAGGGGATGTTTATACTCATCTGGTTAAAAGTCACTGCTCTGAGCAGGAGTCTGAGTTCAAATTCTAGTTCTGTGGCCCATCATACATCCCCAGGATGCTGAGTTAAACACAAGTTGATAGAGCTAATTGTACTGGCAAATAGTAGATAAGGCACATGGAATATGAATCAACTTCAGGTGTCCTGCCTTTGCTTCTGTGGTACCTCTGCTTTATGCTGTCTTCACCCTGCTGCACTATAAGGATTTCAGGGGTGGAGGGGCTTATTGTATTTGTACTTTTGTTTCCCTCCCTAGACTGTAAGTTTCTCTTGGGCAGAGATTGGATAGTATCTGTTTCTGTAGCAGAGTTCAAACAGCTATTCTTACTGTCATTAGATTATGATGCTCAACAATTCTGTCTTAATGTTACATATACCACAACTAAATTTCTTAATGTGGTAAAATACATGTAATTAACCATTTTAACCATTTTTAAGTGTACAGTTCAGTATTCAATATATTTATATTGTTGTACACCACCATTCTTCTCTCATTTATTTTCATCTTGCAAGACTGAAATTCTGTCCCCATTAAACAATCTCTTTTTCCCCTGTCCCCCCAATTGCTGACATCCACCATTTCTGTTTTTATGAATTATACCACTCCTAAGTGCCTTATATAAGTGGAATCAAAGAGTATTTGCCATTTTATAGCTTGACTTCCTTCATTTAGCATAATGTCCTCAAGGTTAATTCATGTTAGAATGTAATAGAACTTCCTCTTTTTCATTTTAGTTTTAGGTGGGCACAATATCTTTATTTTACGTTTATGTGGTGCTGGAGATCGAACCCAGTGCCCCGCACATGCTAGGCGAGAGCTCTACCACTGAGCCACATCTCCAGCCCCAGAACTTCCTCTTTTTAATATTTGAATAATAGTACATTGTATGTACATACCACATTTTGCTTATCCATTTGTGTGTGGATACTTGGGTTGTTTCCTCATTTTTTAACTATTTAAAATTTTAATTTAAAGACAGGGTTTTACTAAGTTGCCTGGGCTGGGCTTGAACTTGTGATCTTCCTGCCTACTGCCTAAGCCCCCTGAATAGCTGATTTCATTCATTTGCACCAGCTCTTTTCAATTTTTTTTTTTTTTTTTGAGGAATTTGTTTTTCTACCCCAAATGTACCATTTTACATTAACACCATTGGTACATGAGGGTTCCCATTTCCCACATCCTTGCCAACCCTATCTATCATAGTAGTCATCCTAATTGAGCATGAGTAGTATCCTGTGGCAGTTTCAATTTGAATTTCCCTAATGACTAATGATTTTAAGTTTCTTTTCCTATTCTTATTGGCAATTTGCATATCTTTTTTGAAGAAATACCTCTCTAAAACTTTTTGTCCATTTTTAAAATTGGGATGTGTTAAGTTTTAGGAATTCTCTACTCGATATTAAATCCCTCATCAAATAAGTGATTTGCAAATATTTTCTCCCATTCTATGAATTGCCCTTTCAATGTATTTACCCCAATAAAAAAAAAAGGTTTTATTTTTTATGATGTCAAATTTGTCTGTTTTGTCACCTGTCCTTTTGGTGTCGTATCTAAGAAATCATTACCAACTCCAATATCTTGAAGCTTTTACCTTGTTGTCTTAAAGTTAGGGTTTCAGCTCTTACATTTAGGGCTTGGGTGCATTTGAGTTAGTTTTTAGACATAAAAAATTTTAGATAAGGATCCAACTTCATTATTTTGTATGTATCTGGTTTTCCCAACACTGTTAACGAGTACTTCTACTACTGTTAATATGTATGAGTTAGGATGTTTATAGAGTTCCGCTTTCTATATGTTACCTCATAATCCCTACAATAGCTGTATGAATATAATTTAAATTTATAAATTGGAATTTAAGTGCTTTGGAAATAAGAAACATAAGTAAACTACAAATCATTTGTTCCCTAACTGGCATTTGTCTCACCATATTTTTTACATTTTAGATGACCTCATTAATTAATGATATTTTTTTGGTTTCTAGAGCAATGTTGATCCCAGGGATGATGTTTTTGGCTATCCTCAACAATTTGAAGACAAACCAGCATTAAGTAAAACAGAAGATAGAAAAGAATACAATATTGGTGTCCTAAGACACCTTCAGGTCATCTTTGGTCATTTAGCTGCTTCTCGACTACAATATTATGTGCCCAGAGGATTTTGGAAACAGTTCAGGTAAACTATGAATGAATAATAATAGGGATCATCTTTTGTTTTCTTTTTGTTATATTTAAATACGTAGGGATATTTCTTAAAACTTGATGAACATACTCAATACATTAATATTAAACTTCTATAATATATGTTTTGAAGCCGGGGCTGGTCATGTATGCCTTAGCAAGTTCCTCTCTCAGAATTAAAAAGGGCCGTGGATGTGGGTTAGTGGTTAAGCACCCCTGGGTTAAATCTCTTGCACCAAAAATAGATAAATGTTTTGAGACGTCTAACTTTGTTATGCAAATGTCTGATATGTACACAAATAGTATGAAACCTAGTATTCATCACCCAACTTCAACAGTTGTCCACTCATAGCCAATCTTATTTAATCTGTATTCTATAATTTACTTCTTTCCAGATTGTTTTGGAGGTAAATCCCAGATAGTTTCACCCATATGTCTCTAATATCTGTTTTAAAATATAACCATAGAACTGTTACTATGTCTTTTTTTTTTTAATCCTTTATATCAAATGTGATTAGTGTTTGAACTTAACCCACTTATCTCATAAATTATTTTCACTGGTATTTTTTAAAATTGGGATCCAGAGCCAGGCTCAATGGCACTCACCTATAATTCCAGTAATTTGGGAGGCTGGGGCAGAGGATTGCACCCCTTGGTATAATCCCTAGTACTGCCCTAATAATCAGGATCTAGATGAGGTTCATATACTACAAATGGTTAATAATGCCTCTTAAGTTTCTTTTGGTCATTGTTGCAAAATCCCCTCCACCCTGCCTTTTTTTTAACAGTTGTTTATGGAGGGGAACAGGTAGTTAACACTACAAGTTTTCCCAGTCAGAATTTTGTTGATGGGGTCCTCAGGGTATTTTAGTGTTTCCTATTTTCTTAATTCTCCGACATCTGTAAGAGATGTAAGATGGAGACTTGAGCAGATTCAAGTGATGTTTTTAATTTTGTGGAATGGCAGTGAGGCTCCCTTTTTACATATGAGGATATTTAGATTTCTTGTGAACCCCCTGCCTAATATACAGTGGCTTCACCATCACTACCACATTTTATTCCCCTAACTAGGCCCCTCCTTTATCTGTACTAGTGATTCAAGTTTATAGCTTGGATTTTATCACTCAGTTTTCTCTCTTACAATACCTTTTTCCCCCTAAAGCTAGTGGAGCTCACACTTTATGTAAACTAGCACTTTTCAATTTACCACACTTCAGACATTATTTGTTAAAATCAGTTTGTTTCATTATTAGAAACAGTACCAGTCTATTTAATTTACTGAAAATGTGAACTAAACTTCCCGTTTGTGTGTGTGTGCGTGTGTGTTTGTGAGTGTCTCCCAATTTTTTTAGTTTCAAAATTTTCAGAAGTATAGAAAAGAGGAAGTCATCACTGTTGTTTTATGTTCTTTACCTAGATCTGTCTAATTGCTAGCATTTTGCCATATTTGCTTGTTTTTCCGTGAGTATAGTTGGTTTTGGGGTTTTGATTTATTTTTGTAAACCATTTGATAGTAATCTGAAAACATGACAATTCATACCCAATGAATTTAATGTTAATCATCTCTAATAATATCAGTACATATTCCAATTTCCTCAAAATGGTTTTATACTGAAGCTTTTGGTTTTTTATATCCCAATCTGGAATACACAGGAAAGAATCAAAAAGAGGGGCTGGAGTTGTGGCTCAGTGGTAGAGTGTTTGCCTAGTATGTATGAGGCACTGGGTTTCATTCTCAGCACCACATATAAATAAATAAATTAAATATTAAGGTCCATCAACAACTAAAAAAAAAAATTTAAAAAAAGAATCAAAAAGAATTTAATTCACCTTCTTATTCTTTTTTAGTCTAGAATCAGCTCCCAAATTTGTGACTTTTATGGCATTGAATTTTTTTGAGAGTACAGGCCAGTTGTCCTTTTTTTTTTTTTTAAACCAGGGATTGAACCCAGGAGCACTTAGCCACATCCCCAACCCATTTTTATATTTTAATTAGCAACAGTGTCTTGCTCACTTGCTGAGGCTGGCTTTGAACTTGTGATCCTCCTCTTGCCTCGGCCTTCTGAGCCGGGATTACAGGCATGTTCCACCGTGCTCAGCACAGGCCAGTTGTTGTATAGAATGTCTGTCTTGATTTGTGTGATTATTTCCTCATGGTTAGATTCAGGTCAAGCTTTTAGAGGAGGAAAGCAGGAAAACTACATCGATGATGTTCTATGCTTCTCAGTTTGTCCAGTTGGGAAGCATATGCTATCCATGTGTTTAATTATTGATGGTAATGACTTTGATCCCCCAATGTCTTAACAGATTTCTCCATTGTAAAGGGTAACTTTTCTCTTTTATAATTAATAAGTTGACATCTAGACTATGTACACATTGCAAAGTATAGCAAGTCGTGTGTAGTTCAAATTTCCAAAAACAAATAAAATGGACTGGTTTTTCAAATAATGCAACAAATTTATTTTCACAGGTGATAGAAGTATTTTTCAAAAGACAGTTCTTCTGAAGTGTCTAAAATATAATTCAGCATAGCTCTTGCTTAGAATAAATACGTATACTCCGTGTATTAGTTTATTTACGTAAATATAAAATTGGATGTCATTGACAGTTTCCAGCAGTGCTTGGGCTTTACCAATGTCAGTTCTCATTTTGTGGTATACATAAGTGATACTTTGTTTTGTCACATCACCTGAAGCAACCTCAACTTTCTTGGACCCATACTATCTGTCAGCCACACCAGTACTTTCCTCTTTTCTCATGTAGTTGAGGAAGAAAATTTCAGTGTACATATGCTGTCATTTGTGGTTACATTGCTTTCTTTTCCCCTCAAAAATACAGTGTATGTACAGTGTATATATTGTTGCGTCATATGTTAAATGTTTTATTTCATTCATTTCTTAGGCTTTGGGGCGAGCCTGTTAATCTGCGTGAACAACATGATGCTTTAGAATTTTTTAATTCATTGGTAGATAGTTTAGATGAAGCTTTAAAAGCCTTAGGACATCCAGCTATGCTAAGTAAAGTCTTAGGAGGGTCCTTTGCTGATCAGAAGATTTGCCAAGGCTGTCCACATAGGTAAGTGCTAATTACAGATTGGAAGTGTAAGTAGTATTATTTATATACTAACAAAAATAAAATTTTTGCTATATTAAACCTAAAAGATGGTGGACTTGGAGTAGTATTCCCTATTAAAGTGAAATACTCATTTGTAAAAAAACATCATTTATCATATTGCTTAAAAATGTTTGTATACAGTACAGCAAGAATGAGAGAACAAATTGTGTTTGTGTGCTTTGTTGTGTGTTTTAGTTTTTTACTTAAAAAGTGGAAACTGTTGCCGGGCATGGTATTATACCTATAATTCCAGCTTCTATGGAGACCAAAGTAGGAAGATGGAAAATTCAAGGCCAGCCCGGGCAACTTAGCAAGACCCTATCTCAAAATGGGCTGGAAATATAGCTGTGTGGTAGAGTACCCCAGGTTCCATCCCCAGTTCAGATGGACGGAAGGAACTAAAGTGTTTAATTAATGATACCTATTAACAATAGCAATGAGGCATGATGGTGGCTCCCTATAGTCCTAGCAATCACAAGGTCAAGACATGGTTTGGTAACCTAGCAAGATGCTGTTTCCGAAGAAAAACCTCATTATAAGTCAAATTGATCATATATATAGCCAAGAGTTGAGTTTGTATTTGGTTGTTGGAGGCACTTAGTTTTTAAACATACAGAAATCATGAGGGTAAAGAATACTTTATAAATAATAATTTTATGGTTTTATAATTTTACCATTCATTCTGAATTGGTATATGTACTTACTCACTTAGCCTGGGCAACTTTTGGCCTTCTTGGAAAGACCATTTACATCGTTAGGAAAACAATAAGATTATCACTTTAACCTTTTTTTTTTTTTTATGACACTAGGAGTTAAACAAAGGGTACCACTGAACAACATCCCCATCTCTAGCCTTCTTTGTTTGTTTGTTTTTGTAGGTTAGGTCTTTCTAAGTTGCTGAGGCCGGCCTCAGACTTGCAATACTCCTGCCTGAGCCTCCTGAGTCCCTGGGATTACAGGCATGTGCCACTGTCCTCAGCTTAATTTTTTGTTTTTAATTATTGATAATATGGCCAACTTTTTGCTCATCTTTTCAGTCGGTCCTCACTTTGTTTTGGACAGTTTACCAAATTACTTGGAAATGATTTGTGTTCTTTGCCAAATGAAAATGTAAAAGATCATGTTCATGAAGTCAGATCCTTTTACTGCCTGATCAATATCTGAACTAGTCTTTTTATTTTTACGTGCCAAACCATACATAGAGAATCCCAAGACTGTTTGTTATAGGACTTTACTTTGCATAATAAAACAGGTCAACAAACTATATAGCACAAGCCAAATCCAGCCCATCCTGTTTTTGTAATATTATTGAAACATACTCAGTTTTATACTGTGTGACTCTTTTTGCTACAATAGCAGAATTAAGTAGCTGCCACAGAGACCATAGGACCCATAGTTTCTATCTAAACATATCACTGGTAGACTATAAGGAGCTTAAGCTGTTAAGTCCAAATATATTTGGCTTCAAAACTTTTTTTTCCCAGTTGGTTTCTTCATCTCTGAAGTAGAGACTGATATTTCTCTAGCAAGTTTGTTATAAAAACAAGAAACCTAATATGTTGAGTGTTTTAAACGACCAAATATAGTGACAAGCACGAGCAAATGATCAGTAAATGTTAACTATCAGTATTGGTAACATTCTGTGAGTTAGGAGCTTCATTATTATTACATAATAGATATTGCAAATGTAGTTTGCATAAAGTCCTTTTTGATTGTTTCTTAAATAATATCTTTAGGTACGAATGTGAAGAATCTTTTACGACTCTGAATGTAGACATTAGAAATCACCAAAATCTTCTTGATTCCTTGGAACAGTATGTCAAAGGAGATTTATTAGAAGGTGCAAATGCATATCATTGTGAAAAATGCAATAAAAAGGTATGGATTGTCCAGCTTTAAAATAGTTATGATGACATGATTTTTGTTTATCCTCAAAATTCACCCTTTTGAAAAAATATCTACCCTACTTTGTCATGGCAATAATAGAGAGATAGTCAAGAGGACAGCTGATTTAATGATTTATTGAACAAAGAAGGTTAAAAAGTACCATAGAGGTGATGAACATGTGGGTGATTTTTAGAAGTCATAATAACTTGACACCACATTTTCTTGCTAATAAAGGAAAATGCTTCACCTCTCATGTCCTTTACTTGGAGAAAACCATTAATTTATTTAACCACTTAAGATTTATTTTGCCACCTGTGTTTAACACTTGGATTAGATATTTAGACTGATCTAATTAGTTTTTATCTGTGGGAACTTAGCAGTTCTTTGAGGGAGATGATTTCATAGGTAGTAAATATTGTATATCTTTTCAGGTTCCCAGGCCCTCTCACCTCAAATTACTGCATTATGTTGCCTTACCAACCACTTAGAGAAGTATTAAAGTGTAGAGGTTGCAAAAGCCATACTACTTGCCTGCCTCCCACACCTCTGTGACATGAGACAAGTCACTTAACCTCTCGGGAACTTCTTATCCTCATCTTTAAGATTCAGTGGTACCTGCTTGAGAGGGTTGTAAGGATTAAATACGTTACTGTTCATGCAGCATTTAAAATATTACGTGGCATCTAATTGCCCAATAAATAACTTGTTGTATTTCTTTGGTTTTCTCACACCAAACCACCTTCATTAGAACAACATTAAACATCAAGTAGTAATGGCTAGGTAACTATGACCGTGTAGGAATCAGGTGAGAAGTGGTGTTAGTATCACTAATTTTTACAGTTTGTAACATCACAGAGGCCATTTCCATGTTATTAATTTTGGTTAACATTTAAGTCAACTATGGCAGAATTACTTTATGTTCATTATCATGTATTTCTTTACACATAAAAATCCAAGTAAGTCTTAAAGGGAGTTTCATAATATCATTTAAAGATTTGCTTGGTTTTTGTTTGTTTGTTTGTTTGCAGTGGATTATAAGAAAGCAGCCGGTAACTTTCTCTTTATTTTTAGGTTGATACCGTAAAGCGCTTGCTAATTAAAAAATTACCTCCTGTTCTTGCTATCCAACTAAAACGATTTGACTATGACTGGGAAAGAGAATGTGCAATCAAGTTTAATGATTATTTTGAATTTCCTCGTGAGCTGGACATGGAACCTTACACAGTTGCAGGTGTTGCTAAGCTGGAAGGAGATAATGTAAACCCAGAGAGTCAGCTGATACAACAGAATGAGCAGTCTGAAAGTGAGACTGCAGGAAGCACAAAGTATAGGCTTGTGGGTGTGCTTGTACACAGTGGTCAAGCAAGTGGGGGACATTATTATTCTTACATCATTCAAAGGAATGGTGGAGATGGTGAGAGAAATCGCTGGTATAAATTTGATGATGGAGATGTAACCGAATGTAAAATGGATGACGATGAAGAAATGAAAAATCAGTGTTTTGGTGGAGAATACATGGGAGAAGTGTTTGATCACATGATGAAGCGCATGTCATACAGGCGCCAGAAAAGGTGGTGGAATGCTTATATACTTTTCTATGAACGAATGGACACAATAGACCAAGACGATGAGTTGATAAGATACATATCAGAGCTTGCTATCACCACAAGACCCCATCAAATAATAATGCCATCAGCCATTGAGAGAAGTGTACGGAAACAGAATGTACAATTCATGCATAACCGAATGCAGTACAGTTTGGAGTATTTTCAGTTTATGAAAAAACTGCTTACATGTAATGGTGTTTACTTAAACCCTCCTCCAGGTAAGTGTTGCAAGTTTGGTTTCTTAATAATAAAGAATAATTCACACTTGAGGGGTTTCCTAAGCATTGACATGTTTAAGTTCATAAAATATTAATATTTTTAAGTGGGTCTAAGTTTTTGCTTATTTTAAGGTCACATTTAAGATGGCTGATACCTTTGAGCAATAAATTAACTGTTTGGAGACAGGACATTTAGTTTGTTTTAAGGATTTTTTTCCTCACTGATTTGAAAATGCTTTCATGAGCTGCCAAAATCAAGGAATAAGAATTATTTCCTGGGGTGGGGCCGTAGCTCACTTGGTAGAACGCCTGCCTAGCATGTGTGGGGCACTGGGTTTGATACTTAGTACCACATAAAAATAAGGTAAAGGCATTTTTGTGTCCATCTGCTATAAAAAATATTTTTTAAAAAATTGTTTTCTAAGTATCAGGAAAAGGGGTATTTAACAGATTTAGGACTTCTCATAAATGCAGACTTGTTGGAAAATGGGGATTGAAAATAGAAATTTGATTTTTATATATATATATATATATCTGCATTTTATTTATAGGGCAAGATCACCTGTTGCCTGAAGCAGAAGAAATCACTATGATTAGTATTCAACTTGCTGCTAGGTTCCTCTTTACTACAGGATTTCACACAAAGAAAATAGTCCGTGGCTCTGCCAGTGATTGGTACATTGCTTTGACTTTTCATTCCTAGTATACTGACATTTGATTTGGTTCTTTAATAGAACTTCTTTTACTTTTTCCAAACCATGAAGATCTTGTTTCAATTTTGAAGTGAGTTTAAAAAAAAAAAAAAAAATTCTTGGTAGCAGTGGTGAGATTATATTAAAATACTTAGACTAAATATGGCTAGTTTTACTTACTCATCCAAAAGTAAGATGTTAAGGAAAGTGGGGGCTATTTTGTCATGGAACCTTAGAGTTTAGTAGATTTTTCAGAGTACAGTGCAAGCTTTTGCTTATTTTAAGTCATTGAGAAAAGACCAAGTCTTAGTATTCACCTGTCCTTTTAATGTTAGTACTAGAAGCAACCATTTGCTGCTTCTCTCTCCAACAGTAGAGGCCTTTACTTTTTTTCTTTTGGTTCATAGAGATCCATCCTTTTTGTATATGAAATAAGTCAAGCATAAGTCATATTGATAGTCATAGATATTTTTGTTTGTTTTAGGTATGATGCATTGTGTATTCTCCTTCGCCACAGCAAGAATGTACGTTTTTGGTTTGCTCATAATGTCCTTTTTAATGTTTCAAATCGCTTCTCTGAATACCTTTTGGAATGCCCAAGTGCAGAAGTGAGGGGTGCATTTGCAAAACTTATAGTTTTTATTGCACATTTTTCCTTGCAAGATGGGCCATGTCCTTCACCTTTTGCGTCTCCTGGACCTTCTAGTCAGGTAATTGTACAGTTTGCTTTCTAATGATTAAATGCTTACCAAAGAATAATGTTTGCTAGAAGTTGTAGTCACAGGCTTATGTTCATCTCTTTTGATATGTTTACTTCATATGTGTGCACATACACAGAATCTAATGTCTCAAGTTCCGTGAAAATTACTATATAGAAATGCATTAAAAGGGGCTGGGACCTGGGTACAGTGGTACACACCTATAATCACACTGACTGAGGATAAGGCAGTAGGATTATAAATTTAAGACCAGCCTAGGGAACTTAGATCCTGTCTCAAAATGAAAAAAATAAAAAGGAATGGAGATGTGGCTCAGGTAAAGTGCCTCTGAGTACAATCCCCAGTACCAGGAAAAAAGAAAGAAATGAATAGTGATTACTGAGCTTTTTAAACATAAGGGAGCTGGGTTTGGTGGCTCCAACAACTCAGGAGACTGAGGCAGGATAATAATAATAAAGAAACTCTTACTGTTCAGATACATACAGTAGCTTAATTATAAACTTGAGTAAATTTTTCTATCTTAAAGGGTTTTTTAATGGACTTAAAATTGTACAATAATGTGAAGGATTTATAATGAAATCTACCCAGATCTTTATTCCCTTTCCCAACCATCAACCCTTTCAAATAGTTTGTGTAATCAGTTCTTCCATAAATTTATGCTTGTGTGAAGAGAGTTATACCTGCACATTGTTACTGAGAAACAGCTAATGTTTTATATTTTACAGGCTTATGACAACTTAAGCTTGAGCGATCACTTACTACGAGCAGTACTAAATCTCTTGAGAAGGGAAGTTTCAGAGCATGGACGTCATTTACAGCAGTATTTCAACTTGTTTGTAATGTATGCCAATTTAGGTAAGAATTACCTAAATATTCTATTGTTGCCATGTGACAGCTGTCCTTTTCAAAGTAGCCTACTCTGACATCACTAGATCGTTTCTTTTCATTGGTTACTGAAATTTACCTAAAAATTTATGCTATACTTGGTTCTACTTTTTCTATTGTATTTTGATAGCAACCAAATTTTTCTGTTGCTCCCCCACTAGATTGCACAGTAGCCCTTGGTAAATGTTTGTTTGCTGAATGGATGGGTGGTGAGGAATATCATAAAATATATTTTCATTGTTATTTGGGGTGGATGTTCTGTTTTGGCCTAGGGTAGGTAAATTTCTTATGATTGAAATTATGAAAATTACTAATGAGATGATAGTGTTCTGATCCCAAAATGATTTTTGAGACATTCCAGTTAAAATCTTAGTGATGATAATATTTATTTGGCCAGTTTAGGAACTGATCTATCCAAAATTAAGTTCTGTACCCAAGCATCCCTGTTATTTCCTGTGTTTTTTGTATGAGCTCGCTCTGCTGATACATGGCCTTTTAACATCAGGAACACAGGAACATTTTACTTTCCGTTTGTCTCTGTAGTTGATCATCTTTTCCCTTACCTTTCCATACCAGAGGCATTTGGTATTTGTAGTTGAGAAAGAAGAGGAAATATATTACAAAAACACTAACTAGAATCTGTATTTCAAACTTAGAAATTTCAGATTTAGGCATTCACAAAAATATTATTCTATTCAACTTCCCCTTTAGATATTGCATATTCATAAAGCACATATCATTGTTCACTAACAAAATTTCCCTGCTGAAGGCAAATACAGGTCTATAAGCCTCAATATGAAGCCCTTAAGAACAGGTATGCTGGGCTGGGATTGTGGCTTAGTGGTAGTGCACTTGCCTAGCATATGAGACCCTGGGTTTGATCCTTAGCACTACATAAAGATAAGTAAATATAAGTATTGTGTCCATCTACAACCAAAAATTTTTTTTAAAAAATGCTTATGTGATTCAAAATTGCTTGGGTTTAAGAAAAATAAAGCAGTGCATATGCCATATATAATGTATCTGAGTCTAAACAGCTCCTTATAACTAAATATATTAATATCCCTGGAGTAAAATGTAAATGAGAGTTGTATGTTTATTAAAACATAAATGGGGGCCAGGGTTGTGGCTTTGTGGTAGAGTGCTTGCCGAGCATGCATGATACACTGGGTTGGATCTCGGCACCACATAAAAATAAGCAAAATAAAGGTATTGTCTCCATCTACAACTGAAAATATATTTAAAAATAAATAAATGGGGACAGGAGGGGGAAGACTGCAAATAGCCTGTTTTCAGTTCAGGCTAGGTTTTCCTATCAAATACATATTTTTGATACCAACTTTATGAAAGAAATTTGATTATAATAAGAACTTTTCTCAGGATTTCAGATAAGGGTTAATAGACGTGAATTTATTGTGTTAAAATAGTCTACTGTCTTAATAGGATATGGAAGCAAACCAAAACGTAGTTGCCATTAAGTTAAATATGTTCATGGTTATAATAGGGAAAATATAAAGTACTATGGATGTGCATCTTTGGGGTAGAAGATTTAATGGGGAAGTTGACATGGGAATTGCTTACCTGAGTTTTCCATGCAGGGTGAACAGCAAATACAAATACATGGAATTAACTTGGTGTTGCTTGTTGTCCAATGACAGTTGTTCGGTCTGTTTAGAATTGATATAGTATTGGCAGAAGTGGTGAACAGGAGTCCCTGTTCATGTTATTCTGGCAAGCCTTGTGAAAGAGGTTTGGCTTATATTTTGAAGCATTGATGAGCTGTTGTGGGTCTCTGAACAGACATGCCTTCTAGAAAGATCTACAATGGAGTAGGACTAGAGGTGGTTAAAATGAACTGTAGACAAAAGATTATTCTGGCTTATACTGCAGAACTAGCATTGAGAGGAATACAAGTAGATTCTGGTACTTGATAAAGAGAGTCTGTGGCATTTGGTGATTGGATATTCAGAGGAGGGAGCATGAAATAGATGTTAACAATGGCTGGGGTTGTGGCTCAGCAGTACAGCACTCGCCTAGCACATGAGAGGCCCTGGGATAGATCCTCTGCACCATATAAAAATAAATAAATAAATAAAACAAAGAAGAAGAATGATGCCCAGGATTCCAGTTTGACCAACTCAGAATAGTGCCACTGAGTTGGAAAAGCATGGGGGAAGAGGATGATTTCAGTTTGCGCCTGTGTGACACCCAGTTGCCTGAGCAATTTAGTGAGACTCTGTCTCAAAAAAGAGCCAGGGATGCCGTGCACTATGGCGCCCACCTATAACCCCAGCGGCTCAGGAGGCTGAGGCAGGAGGATTGCAAGTTCAGAGCCAGCCTCAGCAATTTAGCAAGGCCCCAAGAAACTTGTTTGAGACCCCGTGTCAAAATAAAAAGGGCTAGGGATGTGGCTCAGTGTTAAGCGCCCCTAGGTTCAATCCCTGGTCGCCCCCCCCCCAAAAAAAAAAAGAAAAGAAAAGAAAAAAAGAAGCCAGGGATGTACCTCAGTAATAGAGCGCACCTGGGTTCAATAACGAGTATTGCAAAAAAAGAAAAGAATAAAAGATGGGAGCAGGAAAAAGGTAGTTAAGAATCTAAGAAGGAAGTAGTTACAGTTTGAAAGCTGCTCTGTTCCTTTACCTCATGAAGGGAAATAGAAACCAAATTGGCATGAATTTTGAGGAGTGAGAAAATGAGAAAGTAAACCAAATATAAGCATCTTTTACAGGAGGTTTGCAGAGGAAAGAGGAGAGGCAATTTATAAAAAGTTCTTATTTCTCCATTTAATAGTTATCATCCCTATGATAAAGGTTGCCATCTTCATCAGTCCTTTTGGGCTCTCCAGGCCCCAGAAAGTTCATGTTCCACATAGTCCAGTATAACCAGAAGGTTATAGTCGTGGTTGCCGTTTATCAATTTTAATATTTAAGTCAAGTTATACCTAATCTGTGAATTTTCTATCCCAGTTTAAGTCTGAATGATAAGGAAATGTGATACACTTCTGACATAAGACTATCTTTTTTATTCACAAAGCCCTTATCCTAATGCTTTTCTTCCTCTCTTCCTTCTACCATCTCTTTCACTGTAGGTGTGGCAGAAAAGACACAGCTGCTCAAACTAAGTGTACCTGCTACCTTTATGCTTGTGTCTTTAGATGAAGGGCCAGGTCCTCCAATCAAATATCAGTATGCTGAATTAGGCAAATTATACTCAGTAGTGTCACAGCTGATCCGCTGTTGCAATGTCTCATCAAGGATGCAGTCTTCAATAAATGGTAAAGTAGAAAGCCTCATTCTTCCCAATAATTTTGAATTATTGCTGGGCTATATAGCACTTGATCAAATGTTAATTCTGAAAATGTTTAAATACAAAATAAGAGTTTGGAGGAAGGTCCATGTTTGGAAATATTTTTGAGTGCTATACCTTTTTCACATGTTTAACAGGGAATTCTTTTCTGTCTGCTATTCAAGTTGACACTTTGTTTATGGCGTACTTAAAGAGTTAACTTTTTGCATTATGTCATCTTGGGATATCTAATCATGGTAACATAATATTCATTATGCTTAAGAAACATGATTTATGAAGTTACTTTTCAAAAATAAATTCATAGGCTACCTTTATGGTGAAATCAGTGTATTGCTATTACAGAAAAGTTTATTAGTTGTTCATTGCCAAATCTACATTCTAGGTAATCCTCCTCTTCCCAATCCGTTTGGTGATCCCAATTTATCACAACCTATAATGCCAATTCAGCAGAATGTGGCAGACATTTTATTTGTGAGAACAAGTTATGTGAAGAAAATCATTGAAGACTGCAGTAACTCAGAGGAAACTGTCAAATTGCTTCGTTTTTGCTGCTGGGAGAATCCTCAGTTCTCATCTACTGTCCTCAGTGAACTTCTCTGGCAGGTTAAAGGAACATATAAACATTGATAAATCTCTGTGATTTGATTTGTTATTCCTTTAAGTTGTTCACTCTCTCTGGCCTGTTTTTAGGTTGCATATTCCTACACCTATGAACTTCGGCCTTATTTGGATCTCCTTCTACAAATCTTACTGATTGAGGACTCCTGGCAGACTCACAGGTGGATACTTGTTTTCATTACTGGACTACTTATATGTGCCCAGGTGTTAGACATAATTGCAATAGTCACCACTTTAGAGTCCTAATGAATAAAACACCAAAACAGCTAGGTGTATTGGCATGCACCTATAATCCCAGCTACTCAGGAGGCTAAGGCCAACCTAGGCAATTTAGTGAGATCCTGTCTCAGATTTTTAAAAAGGGCTGGGGGTGTGGTTCAGTGATAGTGCTTGCCCCCAGCATGATATTTTTGTTGTTGTTGTTTTTTTATTTGGTTGGTTGGTTTTTATTTTGGTTTTTTCTTCTCGTTGCTCGAGTTTCATACTTAACATTCTAACATCATTTCTTTGAATCAAAAATTTAAATTATAGTCATGCATACTGATGGGATTTATTGTTACATGTTTATACATGCACATAATAGAGTAATTTTACCAATATTACTGCCCTATACTTCTCTTCCTCCCTCCAGCATAAGCATTTGGTAAATATTTAAGTTCATTGATGATTCCCTTGAAGTTTTTTAGGATTAGTTCGCTTTAGTTTTAGAATTAGTAGCTTGAAATATTTGGTTACTTAAAAGTAGTCCTCAGCAGTCTATGAAGTCGTTGCAGACACTGAGGTAGTAAATAATAAACTGTTACTCCTGCTAGGAAATTGGTTTCTTTGAACCTCTGTTTACATTTTTATCCACCTATCAGTATGACATACATTATTGACTAACATTGAGCTTGCAAGCCAGGCATGGTGGCATATAGCTATAATCCTATAGCTGTTTGGTAGGCTGAGGCAGGAGGACCACAAGTTTGGTGTTAGCCTGGACAAATTATTTGATACATTTTCTCATCTGTTCATGGGTGTAATAACAATACCTATAGTCTAGCATTAGATTAAATGACTAGATCAGACATTAAATAAGTGGTATGTAATAGGCAATAAATATAAGCTGCTATATTAGATTTTAGAAGTTTTAATCTTATATTCTGCTTCTCTTTCAGAATTCATAATGCCCTTAAGGGAATTCCAGATGACCGAGATGGGCTGTTTGACACAATCCAGCGCTCTAAGAATCACTATCAGAAAAGAGCTTACCAATGTATAAAATGTATGGTAGCTCTCTTCAGCAATTGTCCTGTTGCTTACCAAATCCTACAGGTGAAGATTTTTTTTATTTTTTTCTGTAGAGATCTGAATCAGAATTAAGGATTCTGTCTTAAAGAAGAGAGTCCTGAGAATTTAGGGGTTTTTTGTTTGTTTGTTTTTAAGTTTGAAGTGTTCCAAGTCCTCTTACATATGTGGTTTTTATTTTCTTTTGAAGGGTAATGGCGATCTGAAAAGAAAGTGGACCTGGGCAGTGGAATGGCTTGGAGACGAACTTGAAAGAAGACCATATACTGGCAATCCTCAGTACACTTACAACAATTGGTCTCCCCCAGTACAAAGCAATGAAACATCAAATGGCTATTTCTTGGAGAGATCACATAGCGCTAGGATGACACTTGCAAAAGCTTGCGAACTCTGTCCAGAGGAGGTAAAAAAAGCCATCAGTATGCAGCAGATAGAAATGGAAGAAAGCAAAGTAATTCTTTACTTTATAGGCCAGTGTTTATTAACTATTAGCAGTAGTGCTTTTTTAAAAAAAAAAAAAGTTATATTGAAGTTTTTGTTTGTTACTGTATGTTGTGTTGATTCCAGTTCCTTTGTTTATCTGCAGTAAAAGAAGTTGTTAATGAGTTAGTTTTATAGGTTTTAAAATTTTATTTCAGTGCTGGGGATGTATGTAACTCAGTGGTATAGTGCTTACCTAGTATACACAAGGCCCTGGGTTTGATCCTCAGCACCGTAAAACCAAACCAAAAAAAATATATATTCTGGACAAGTGAGGCACACCTGTAATCCTGGCTACTTAGGAGGCTGAGGAGTGTTGCAAGTTTGAGGCCAGCCTCAGCAGTTTAGCAAGACACTCTCTCAAAATAAATAGGACTGGTGATGTGGCTCTGTGCTAGAGTGCTCCTGGGTTCAATCCCCAATACCACAAAAACAAATATGTAAGTTTTAGTTAAAATAGAAAAGGTTAAAAATGAGCTTGCATTTGCCTTTATAATTTCTTTTTTTTTTTTTTTAATTAGGAACCAGATGACCAAGATGCCCCAGATGAGCATGAGTCACCTCCCCCTGAAGATGCCCCATTATATCCCCATTCACCTGGATCTCAGTATCAACAGGTAAACAGGAGTCAGATTTTGGTTTTAGTCTCCAGAACCAATTCTTAGGCTTGAATAGTGGCCAAATCTTTTATGACTGAAGTCATGGAGGGATTGTCTAGGGGACATGATTAGAAGAGAAATGGTGAGAGTGGGATCATGGTGCCCATTTCAACTGGCCCCTGTGGTAGATTCCTCATCACATAGGTGTCCTTCTGATACTGGTAATTTACTTGGTAAATCTGTGTATTCATTCATGTCAACATAAAATGATAACCATTGCTTAGTGCAAAGGATTAGAACGATATCTCCTGTTAGGCTAGGTCTGCAAATGGATTCTGAGGACATTCAGGTATGGTGATGAAGTAAGGGATCCTTGGTTACTTAACCCTAGATTTCAGTGAATGGGAATTGTTGAGGGGAAAAAAAAAAGGATTTGGCAGTTTTCCATTGGGCGATGGACAGTGGTACTTGAACAGGTATTAGAGTCTCCTATTGGGCTTGTTAGAGGACAGGGTGCTAGACCCTGCCCAGAGCCTCAGGTCTCCTCCCCCTACAGAGTGCTATTCCCCACTGCTGGTCTAAAAAACTGAGACACATGTAAGTCATTCTTTCTTAGGCTTCAAGGTATAAATAGAAGCATGCCGAATAATTAAGAAGTGCATATTCAACACAATTATTTTCGTAATGCAAATGATATAGAAAATAAAACAAAATCTTGGCTTGGCTGGTGGGGATATATAGGAGAATGAGTGCCTTTAGGGTTCTGGCATTTCAAAAGATTAACCAAATCCACAGGAGAAAATTACTTGCTTGACCCTGAGAATGCTCATATTAAGCACACTTGGTTGCTTTATTATCTTCTTCAACATTGTTTGCTTCTCACTAACATTGTTTTGTGTTCATAGTTATTGTGCCTGCAGATCTCATATCATGGGCAGTCATTTATCATATGGAAGAATTCGAATTCTGTGTATTCTAACTCACGAATCATTCTTTGTGAAGATTTTGGCCAAGAACAATAATGGGCTAATCCCTTATTAGGCTTTTAGTGTTTCACACTAAAAGTCACTTTGGGCTGGGTGTAGTGGTGCATTCCTATAATCCCAGCATCTTGGAAGACTGAGGCAGGAGGATCTCAAGTTTGAGGCCAGCTTGGGCAACTTAGACTGTTTAGTTTGGGGGTTGGGCGGGCGAGCAGGCAGGGTGAGGATGCTGAGTATGTAGCTCAGAGTGTCCCTGGGTTTAATCCCCAGTACTTCCCAGAATAAAACAAAACAAGTGAAAATAACTTTGGTCAAAGATTTATACAGAGCTACACAATCATCACTCTTTTGGGGGGGGCCTTGTGCTTTGTACTTACACTAGCTTTTTTTCTTTCAAACGGGTTAATTTTTTCACTATTAGTCTTAAGTGTATTTAAAGGATAAGTTTCAGAAATGAAAGAAATGTTTACATTTTCACACAAACTTGAGCTTGTGATTTTTAAAATTTGTTCAACTTGGGAAAAAATTTAACAGGCACATCTCCTCTCCCCTCCCAGAATAACCATGTGCATGGACAGCCATATACAGGCCCAGCAGCACACCACATGAACAACCCTCAGAGAACTGGCCAACGAGCACAAGAAAACTACGAAGGCAGTGAAGAAGTATCCCCACCTCAGACCAAGGATCAGTGAAATGCACATAATTAACTGGTTCCATCAAGACTGTGCACCCAGGCCTTACAGTCCAACCTTTTTCTGTGTCTGGCTAATATTTAAAACTAGAAAACTATTCCTAATCAACATGGAGTGGAGAGTTTATTCACTGTCTTATCTGCAGAAATTTGCTGTCAATATATAACCCGCCTGCAGTGGAAAGTGTATAGTGTTTTGTAATAAATGGCCTGATGCTAATGTGTAAATGGCAAAGGTGTATATAGTATATTAATGTTTGACTGTTAATTCTTAAGCAAGAAACTTTTTTCTTGATGGGACTCACAGATCTACAAAAACTACTACAAAAGTTAATTTTCTTGTTATACCCACTGCACTTTGCAACCAGTGTTGCCTGCCTCTTGGCAGTTTGATCAACTCCTTTACAAAAACAAAAAATAAACCAACAGCAACAAAACAGCCCATTCATGTCAGCCACACCAATAGTTTCATGTTAATTCTTTGCCACTGAAGTCAATTTTAACTATGAGCAATGTAAGGCTGGTAACCTTTAAATTATTTGGTTGATGTGGAAAATTGGTGATGTAACATTGTTTCTAGATCTTTTTCATTGCCTTTTTATTCTGATATTAGGTTAATCACTTTGAGGCTATAGTTATGCTGTAACATTTAGCATGGCTTCACACCACGTTAGTGTAGCCAATGAAGAAAAAACTACCATAACGACTGCAGTTGTCCAGAAGTGACAGCTGTGTTGCTCAGAGCTTTTCCTTCTTACACCTAGAATATAAAATAAAGCGAGGGGAGAAATGTGACAGGCAGTTTTCAGTTGCACTTATGTTCTTTCTCATATTTGACAGTTCAGTCTTTGGGTGGGATAAAGAAAACTTAAGTATCAGTAATGGGAATTTTAAAAGATTTTTTTTAAATATGCAAAAATTTGCTATGCCAGGATGCTGGAGCATAATAGAAGACTGTATTTGGTATGCTTGTTTTTGTTTCTTTGGTAGAGATTATTAGGTGAGTCTTCTGGATCCCAGTGATGTGGAAGTCGTCAGAATCCCACAGTACTTGGAGTACCTCTGCATCAAGATATCTGACTGATTTTTCTGCTCAGTCACAATTTTACTTGAAAGCAAGAATTGTCCTAGCTCACTTTCCATTATTCCAAAAATATTAACGTTCAAAGCAGGGTCTAATTTAAAAAGAAACTACTGGTTAGTTAATATAATTGAAGTATCATAATTTCAGAATAAACATTTGATTAAAGTAAGGAACTCATCGGTTAATACTGTATTTAAAAGAGAATTGGTGACTTGAATGTGTGTAATTTTTTTGGAACCTGTCGAAAAACCAAATACCCCTGCAAACAGATACAGCCCACCCTATTCTATTTAAATATTTTGCTGTTTTATTTTATAGAAATTATTTTGCTGAATTCACAAATAGAATTTGATTTAAGAAGAACTTTTTGTCCTGTGGTGTGTTTTTGGCTTTTTGGTTACTTTTTTGGTCCTGTTTTTGGTTTTGTTTTTGTTTTTTTAAGGACTGCATATAAAAATTCTGTGCATAGCATGCATAGCCATGGCACTTAATTCAGGATTTCAGTTAACATTTTTGTGCACAGAAAGATCTGACCTTTGGCCCTTTACTAAAGACTGCAGAGAGCCGGGAGCAGTGGCGCCTGAAATCCCAGCTACTCGGGAGGCTGAGGCTGAGGCGAGAGAATCGCAAACTCAAGCTGGAGGCCAGCCTGGAAAATTTAGTGAGACTCTGTCTCCAAATTAAAAAATCAAAAGGGCTGGGGATGCAGCTCAGCGGTAGAGTGCCCCCGGGTTCAGTCCCCAGTCCCCCAAAATTAAATACTTCGAGAAAACAGAATGTTGACACTAGAAGTTTCCTAACAATCAATCTTGTACTTTTTGTATGTTTTTTATATACATGTATATTTAATGAGCACAAGCTAGGTTGTATTTTTTACAATTCAGTTAATGGGAAAAAGTTTTGTCAAAAGGCAATAGTTGGAACTGAACAAAGCAGAAACAAACAGCATTGCATTATTTTGTGATTAAAAGGGGCAGGTATTTAAGATAAGATAAAGCTTTGGGTATCTTATTTGCAGTACTCTAGTAAATCTGTGCTTCTAGGTTTTTCTGTAGTATTAGGAAATTTTGACAGCAGATAGTTTGTTTTTACTTTATGTTACATCTGAATTTAAGTTTTTTTTAAGTGTGTTTTCTTTTGTAGTTTGCAGAGCTGGGATGGAACCCTGGGCTTCATGCATACTAGGCAAATGCTCTACCTTTGAGCTACATCCCCAGCCTAAATTTGTTTGAGCAAGGGTTGTACAGTGTTTGCGATTCCAGTTGGTAGTTTAACTTAAAAGTTAGTCACAAGCTTTCTCAACTAGCAAAGTAGGTTAACTTTATTTGGGAAAGTTCTTATTATTGTTAATGATACCATCTCACCATCTGAGAGGTGATTTTAAAATTTCCTGGTCCTTAACAAAAGTATGTAATGGGCTTAATTTAAAATGTAATGACTTCCTAGATGAGGAAAAAACTTGACATTTTAAAAGGCTGTGAATTTTTCTCTCTGGAGGGAGATCCTAACTTTGCTTTGAATTTCAAGCCGCTCCCCCCACATGGTGCCAGGTGAGGGCTTGAGAGTCATTTTCCTGTCTCTCCGAGGAAGAATGGCCTGTTTTGTGACCAGGAGTGAGGGAGATCGAACAGTTATTTTTGTTTGTGCAAGTTATTTTCTGTATTTATCTCTTAAGTATTAGTGTAGAACGGCAAATTTTAAAATGCATGTTATTGTAAGAGCAACCATAGTGGTGATTTCTGAGGTCTTTTTCTGAACACGGCACATTTTCAATTTCAAGTTTTCAAAAGTGCCTAAAGGTTATTTAATTCTCCCTCAGATGATTTTTTTGAGCCATATACTTCCTACTTTAAATGTTTCTTGCAGAATCACTAGTCTTCCTTCGAAAGAGATATTCCTGGAACTCTAAATGGCATGATTGCTCGCATAGAAGACAGTAGAATCTGTTAACGTAAAGACTGAAGATGTTTTAGTTGTAAAACTATGTGAACTAGGGGTTTGCCCTGCTGGATCTAAGTATTTCAGTGTACAACTTGGTAAGAACCGTATTGCTGCTGTTTCTAAGCCCTCCACCAACCAAAATTTTCATGTTCAACATGGTAGAGGCAGAAATAACATAATCATATTTGGGGACTTCTTTTTGTTGAATTTCTCTCGGTCATCATTTCCCAGCCTTGCGTCTTTTAGTTATAATGTATACAAACTTAGAATTATTAAAGTGTTTTCTATTTTTTTCATGATTAACTTTTATTAGTGAATGATAAGTCTTTAATCCTCTCAGTGGTTCAAGCGATGAGCCTTTTTTATTTGAATTGTTTGTAAATGAAAACCACAGTTTGTGATAATTCAGATGAATTCAGAATAGTTTTGAGTTTTTTATTAGTATTTTTGCAGCTTATGTTCTCCCATGAACTGTTTTACTTTGCCGGATTTTGTGGTTAATTTGGTGGCTATATCCTGCCTTATTTAGAATTATAACTGGATAAGAAAATTGCCTTTTCATTTTAAGTGCCCACTTTTGGCCTCCAGTTTAAAGGTACTACATACATGCTGCCAATATAGGAAGACAACACCCACTCCCCCGCTTTGTGTTACCAAGAAAAAGAACAGTACTGATTTCGCAGTAGGGCTCAACCAGAATTGGTCCTACACCTCCGTGTTTTAGCATTTGAGAAAAAGGTTTTGGGTGTGATGAATCACTACAAGAAGTGCTAAATGTATTAAGAACTTAACTGCCGATTGTATTTATAACAATTATTTCATGCTTGCAGAAATGTAGCACTTTTCTTCCAAATTGATAGGTGTAAGAAAAGGTGGGGAGAGGTACACCACATTTTAAAGTCACGTGTGAGTGCAAATTTTTATTTTGAAATCCAGATTCCCAAAAGGAAATTTCACCACCCAACTCACAATTCCTAGCCTTTTACAAACCAACAGACTGACATAAAGATTGTCCACAGTTCCTAAGATTTAGCACATATACAAAAATAAAACTTTATAAATTAAATTTGGGTTTTCCTTTTATTTATCTTCTAAGTTCAGAAGGGAATTCTCCGCCTTCCACTCCACAAGTCTAGAGATCAGACCCAGGACCTCAACACCCCATTGAAGGGAATTTTTTTAAGGGAACTCTACCATGTTTCGGTTGATCAAAGTGTATTCCTACCTAAGCAGTTCTGAGATTGAGTTGTGATCTAATTGCTGACCTAGTCCTTTCTTCTAAAACCAAGATTTAAATAGTTGGGTGTCTCAGAGTTCTTTCAGATTTGAAATAAAAGCCAGGTCACATATTTTGAGGCAAGTAATAGGAGGGAAACATTTCTCAACATGCCATCTGCTCTTTTTTTTTCTTTTTTTTTTTTTTTTTTTTTTTTTTTTTTTTTTTTTTTTT